TTTTTTTTTTTTTTTTGCAAAGGAGAGTGCTTTAAATTAACATATTCATAGTTTTTTTCCTTAAACAATCGTTAAATTTAAGTTTGAGAATGATTAGGGCTGCAAAGTTTTTTCCATTGTTTGCTTACTCGTATAACTGATTTATACCATTTTAAAGGATGACTGTTTCATTGGTTGTAATCATGTTTGAATTAACGGGAAGTCTCGAGTTTATCGTGCCGACAATGGTTGCTACAATGTTTGCAAAATGGATTGGTGATGCTTTCTACAAAATGGTAGTCTTTCTTACCACTGAATCAATATTGAAACAGAGCATTTCTGATATTCGGCACAGTGGTTTGTTAACCGCGGTTCCGTATGTCAGATGTTGTGATATTTTGTGATGTGAAAGGAACTTAGGATGTTATATTGTTTCATTTTATCTGAACTTTTGCCAGATTATAACTACTTCGGATCATCAACTTCTTTTCACAGTGAAAATTGAATGATTGCAGTTTGGTATAGAAAAAAGTGTAATATTTTAGGGCATATACGATGCGCATATAGATTTGAACGGCTATCCATTTTTAGACAACAAAGGCGAATATCCATATTCCACGGTTGCCATACAAGTAATGAAACCTGGGCCAGGTCGAAAATTTTTTGCTTCACTAGGGGGTTTTCTAAACGCAAAGCACTTTGAACTTTCTACATGTTGTATTTAAAAGAAAAAAAAAAACTGTATCTGTGCTATAGTTTTTACACTGAAACCATAAGGAAATTGATCAATTTTTTCAACTATTTTTCCTTATTTTCTAGGTGGTGGCATGTTGCGAGTAATCACACAAGATACGATGACAGTTGGTGACATTGAAATTTTGCTACGTGAAACTAATTATAACGGGTTTCCAGTTGTTGTCAGTGAAGAGAATTTGTATTTAGTGGGATTCTGTCCTCGGTTAGTGTTTCATTTTTTTTTTCTTCAGACATTTAGGAATTTTCATTACAAAATAAGAAATCATGTCTTTTTAGTTCTGTAGATAGATCTACAGACATTTTAAACTGATATTTCAGGCGTGATTTGCAACTTGCTCTACATTCCGCTCGTAAGTCACAACCTTACGTTGTCACAAATTCAATTGTTTATTTCAAGACTGATGTCCCAGCTACAGCAGACGGTACTCCAGCACCACTGCGCTTTCGTAAACTCATCGATCTGGTAATTTTTTATTAATAGAATAATATGTAAGATGTGCAAATTTCTGCCGGTTTCAGTACATCCAATGCTTAAATAATCTAAATCACTGGTTGTAATGACAGTTTATGACTTGTGCTTACTGACGTATGTCATCGAATTGGGTTTCCTACTCATGCTTTCTAGGCAGTGGGTACAAAAGATTTTTTTGGGAACGCTTTAGGTTGCTTAAGGAGGTTTAGAATTTGTTGTATCATCAAATTTTCGTTTATTATTTGTTGTGTTTTGCTTGTTATACATATATTGCTTTCAAAATAAATCTTTATTTGAATTTTCCAAACATAATAGGCGTAGGAAGAGATTTATACTGCTAATAGTAGCACTAAATTTGAAGACTAATTGAATTGTCTCATTTGTTTAAAGAACATTTTAAATTGATTCTTCAGGCACCGATGACTGTAACCGATCAAACACCAATGGAAACGGTAATAGATATGTTTCGAAAGCTTGGCTTAAGACAAGTACTCGTAACGCGAAATGGTCGTCTACTTGGGATAATCACCAAAAAGGATATCCTCGATTTCATGAAAATGGGTGATGTTGAAAATCACTCTTTCTAAGTCGTTTATTATCCCTTTGTTGAGAAGTCTTTTTTATCTCTTTATTGAGGAGAAAAAGTTTCATTTGTAGTCATGGTTAGTGTATGAATCCCGGTTATTGCACTCCACTGTTTGCAATGCTCTTTACTGCGGGAATTTCCCATGTATACAACTTCCGATGTTATATAGGTAGAAATACCGAATTTTGCTCCACATTTTATTACTCTGTAACATACTTTCAATAGCTCCGAGAAGACATGGATTAATTTTTAAAGAACCCGATACAATGCATGAAAAAGGATGTTCATTGTATAAATTATTGAATAAACGAAATTCATTGAAAAATGGATAAAGACGTAGAGATATCATGTTTTTCCTCTTTTTAATAATTTTCAATTTTCGTCGATTTGCGAATTCTATCATGTCGATATTTTCCAATGCTTCATATTAATTTAAAAAATTTCGCAAGTATGTTGTAATTTTATTCCCTTTTTTTTAAGAAACGGGGTTACAAGTTATTGTACATAATTCTTGGCGAACATTTTCATAAATAGCCAAATTGTTTCGGACCATATATTTCATAGCATTGCAAACTCTTGGATGAAGCTTCATTTCTTCCTAAAATAAGGGATAGGAAGAGAAAGCAGGTGGTGGTCAAAGGCAGGGAGATCTAAAAGACAAGTAGAGAAATTTCTTGTCAGAAGAGATTTTAAAGGAAATTGATTATTGAAATTGATCAATATCGTTTGCCACTGTATATCACTGATAATATGATGGCAAAAAAAGGAAGAATATAGGGGATTATAGAACTTCATTACGTGAATTCTAAGTGATAAAGTAACAAAATTCCCTCTGTTCATATGTTCGGATAAAGGCAAGTGAGGTACCTATTACACTGCGGAAGTAAATGATCATTGTGATAATTTTTGACTAGCATACTGCGGAAATTCATAATCATGATTGATTATGGGTTTACACAATGTGCTAGTTAAATCAGTTCGTCCAGGCTTACAGGCCAAGTTAAGTGAAGTTAGCATTAGCCTAAACAGAACTAAGTGGTCATTGTGATAATTTTTACATTTTTTGTACTAATGTCTTCACGGATAAATCTTTTTGCTAGAAGTTCGTTGATTCAGTTTCGATATGCATATCGGAATTTCTCGATTCGCTCTTAATTCTCATACTTTCTATAACCTATACTTCATATTTATTTGAATTATGTGTAAATTTTTCGAAATCTTTTTTATCATCCACTCTAATTTACTTCTGTATTTTGTCATGAAATAAAAGTTCTGTTGCTGAGGGAATTTTTCGAATAATTTTTTGCAAAGATGGGAGATGACTTTTCCTCGCAGATACATCTTATTAAAATGTTCATATGCGTGAAGAAACAATTCTAGAATTTTCGTATTGGAAGTTCAAGAAGAGTTTTTGAGATATTGTTCACATTTCTATCATTTCACCTCTTGACTGTTATCCGCTGCTAATTCTTTCTTTTCATTATGGTAGCAAAAGAAAGAAAAAATGGTAATGAATAACTCTTCGCAGATGTTATGTAGCTCCTTTCATCGAATCTGTTCAGTGTTGATGATTTTTAGTTCATCATGCGTGGCCACGGTACTTCGGTAATGCCGATAACGGCTGGATGTCGGAAAGATATTGAACGTTTATTAAAAATGTATAAAGAAAAAGAAACCCTTCGATATAAACCATTCATTGAATTATTCGATAAGATGAAATTTGCGACAATATTTATGGGTCGTATGAGTCCTGCTGAACTCTATGAAGTGAGTTATGTTTTCATACTTGTAAAATTACTTGATATATCTTTTTGTGATGCTAGAAACTGCTGATGTTGTTTCGTATCTTTCTGAGATATATTTTCGAGTCAGAAAAAAGTTCAGATACATGCATTGTTGGTTAAAGTTGGACAATTCAATATAGTTGATCTTCTGCTAACCATTGGTAGAATGTTTCCGCGAAATCTTGTTGGGTATCCTTAAGAAGAAATAATTAAAGCGTGTAATCATTGTTAGTCATTTTTTATCAGTAATGAGTAGCTGTCACCATTCTAGAACTTGATAAAATTCTTGCAATTTGTGTAATTTAAATGTTTTAACAGTTACAAATTTCAGTTCAGTGAAAAATTGCTTCAAATAACAATTGCATATGCTATGTCATATCGTGAACGAAAACCAGCTGAATACGCCGAGGAATCAACAACCGATAATGAACCTATGTCATTATCAGATATACGATTCAGTAATGAAATGACTTTACAGGTACAAAGTTGGGGTTTCTATCTTCAAGCATGCTGAAAAATACATTGTAAAAACAGTTTGGAAATGGGATTAACAAGGTTGATTAATGCCGTGAAGTTTCCCAGATAAAACTAGGTTTTTTTTTTTTTTTTTTAGGAACGAATGTTTGGCGTATATCTAACATATGCTCTGTATTTTGTGCAGCCAGAAAGTTATGTGGCGCAAGTGCGAGTTACACCTGATCAAATGGCTGATTTAATTGATTTCATCAGTGAACGTCTGATTCCGGAACGACATATCGATGCGTTTGCTGCTCTATTCAAACTTATTAATGGAGGAGCATTCCGCATATACGCTTTTGAAAAAGAAGTTATTTTTTAGGAAACTGGTTTTTTTGTTGTAAGATACAGTAATTTGAATTTAAGTGCACTTTTACGATTTACCCAAGAATGCGTCTTTCCAAATCGTTTTGATTTTAATCATTTGTTTTTATTAAATTTCAAAGTATCATTTTAGCTGCAAGCGCAATCTAGATATCAGAGTGCAGAAATGGCACTAGATTCAAGAATATTTATAACAACTTTTAGCGCACCGAGGAGTTACTGTTTCTTCTTCTATGCAAAGAATAACTTAATCAGCTGTAACTTAATCAGCTAATAAGTTAAATGAAATGATTCGAGGACGTGAAGCTCTTTCAGAAAATCGATTACATTCGGATTAGAATGATCCATTTTTTCCTGACAGTTGTAATCGTCGTTGCATATGTTGAGTCATTTGGAGAAATAGGATTTCAGTAGTTTTCAGCACAATCCATTGCTGCATCGTCGTTTTGATCTAAGGGAATTAGATGAAGGTGGTCTGGATGAAACGGAAGCACAGGAGCACAGTTTTCTGAAAGCACTCGCTGATGATATTGTATTTACGCAGGCAGATATCATTTGCAAACGGTTTGTTCATTCTTGGCAAAGGATTTCGACAAAATTAAGGTTTCAGCAAAAAATATTTTCAGTTAAACGAAATAAAAACTCCTGATTTCCATATCATCCAGGAACCAATGAACGCATTATCCGCTAATTTATTTGCTTAAATCGACAATAAACCAATTTTTCAGTTATCTGGCTGCGAAGGAAAAAGCTAATCTTCCGGCTGATTTAAACATAAACTTAGTTCAAACAACAGTGTCAGAAATTTACAATGAGTAGGTTTTTTTTTTTCTTCGTATAGTTCTTATATTGTCATCCGGAAAAGTTTTAAGTGTTCCTGCTCAATTTCAGTTCTTAATCGATCTTAATTTCCTACTGTTGGTTATTCCCTGCTGGTTAAATGTTAAAAAAAAATTTCTCGAAATACAGACTCTTAAAGCATATGTTCGTTTACTAAAGTTTGAAGTGAAGCTTGATTTTTTAGTGATGATTGTACTGGAATTTAGCACCAACATTTTGATGAGGATTTATGTTGTGTAGTTTGTTGCTACGTTCAATGTTAATTTTCTACCGCATAGTTGGCATGGCTTAATAAATAAGGATATCGATCACTTTTGTATATTTTACAGCATTTTAAAAAGTACGGGAGCAGAAATGGAGGTAAATTTATCGCCGAAAAAAGCGCCTCGTCAAAATTCGGTAAGATAATTTGTTGAAATCAGTGTAGATGAAATTCGTATATTTTCATCTCATTTTCTTTTTTTTTTCAATTTATTTGGTCTTAGGGTCGCTTTCGTTCAGCACTCAAAGAGAAAGCTTATAAATCACATATCATTCACGCTCGACATCGACGATATTTAGTGGATCCATCGGTTTCCTCAACAAACAGTGAGACGGAGCAAGAACGAAATATGATATCTGCAACGGAGGTCTTTCTTATTTATTCATTTATTGAAAAGAAAATATAATAGAGCTTTAACATTTGCAATCATTTCGTTTTCTCATATAGTGAGATTGAAGCTCGAGGAATCATCCAGGGGAATGTTAGGTAAACCAGGGAGTATGGGCTAGTTGGCTAAGTTAGATGGTTCAAGTACTACTAGTCAAACTAGCATTTATAGGGAGCTAAGTTGTTTAAAAAAATAATGTCATGATTAAAGTAAAGAAAAAGTAACATCATGATTAGAGCTGGAAACATTGAAACATGTTTTTAGATGCTGAAAACACTGAAACGTTATTCATCAAGTGGATCCGACAAAGGTATGGAGGGTGAGGATATGGGTGATGTTTTATTACTTTCTGAAGAAAAACGACGGAATGAAAGTGAGTCGTCGACTGGAGCAGTAAGTTACTGATATCGTGGTTTGGGTAACCAACAGTTAAAGTTAAAGTGATGTCTCGAAATGAATTGGCGGCTCATAGCAATGGCATCGATAATCATTGATTTAGCTGATTTTTTAATGCATATTTCTAGGCTTTTTCACTGTAACGATTCTGTAATAGGATAGTATGAGATAGTATAAGAGAAGCAGTAGAGAAATGTGATCATGATCTTGGGAAGATCTAGGTTGAGAAAGGTAGAACTACATCAACAACAAATGGATGTCAAATTAACCCGAGTAGTGTCAGGGAGAAAAAGAACACAGCTGATGTCGGGAAATGTAAACATAGATAAGGTAAGGGAGGTATCAGGTGAAAAGAGTGATTTACCTGTAAATAAAAATTCACAAGTGCTTTAGTATTTCGATAGCATCAACTGGGCGATTCAAATCCATTTCTAATCTGAACGGGTAAAATGACTGAAATGTTTCAGACTGGATCAAGTAAAAAATTGGGCAAATCATCAAAAGTAACGAAGAAAAAGACGGGCGGGAGAAAGAGAGGAAGGTATGGCAGTGTTTTTTTTCATATTCATTTTTTGCTTCTTTGCATTTTCGATGTTAGTTAACATTTGATATACAGTAAGCTGGCATTTCTATTAGTTCACTAAATATTCTCTAGGCATTACTGAATAGAACATTTAACAGGAAAGGCAACTACGATTTCACGAAGTCTGAATAATTTAGTCTTTACGTTAACTTTCCACTTGAGCCTATTATTGATGCTATTTTCGACCTGTGTAGCCTTGTAAACATTCTCATTTGTTAGTGCTAAGTTAATGCAACTGAAGGTCTTGTGTCAATTTTTGCAATCCTTTTAGGAGTAAATTGAGTATTTCGGAAATGTCGCTTGCAGAATTAACTCACGACCTTGGAGAAAGTGTTGCAGCTTTGAATCAAGAAGAAAGAGGTTGGCTTGAATGTCAAGTTATAATCACCAATACGAACTGCTTGCTTTCAAGCTGTCTAATCAATATTTTCTTTCAGAAATCGAGAACTCCAAGAAAGAACGGATTGCTGATCGTCTGCTGGAAAAAATACAGAAAGCACAGGAGAAAAATGTATAATGACTGTTGAGAAGAAAATTCTATGTTCGCAATCTCATCCATGCTTGATTTTGCCTTTTCCGTAAAAATCATGCTATGATCGGTCGCTGAGTGTGATGCACCTGTTCTAGCCGGAATCCTTCCTCACTTACTTTATTCCGAATAGAATTAGGACATTGAGATTGAAAACGCCTCTTTCATCCACACTGAACTATTTATATTCTCCAACTTTCATTCTTGCTATGCGCCACGAGTAATGAAACAGGGTATCTCGCATCAGACCATTTTTGGATCTCGGAAGTAATTCCAGAGAATTGCAAATCTTCGAATAATATAAATTGTTAAATTGCCTAAACTTTCCTCATAACGTTCAGCAAAGATTGCTTATTTTTGACCATTTGAACATATTTACATGTTCAGATAATCAGATTTCAACCGGTTGTCCGCGACAACTAAAATATGGCCAGTGAAGGTGATGGTGAGTAGAAGACAGGGAGGAATTGTTTTATATTATAATGTTACTCCAACTTTAACTAATACCTCAAAAGTTTCTCTTGAAGTTTATTTTGAAATTAACAGAATTTAATATTACTGAACCTTAGCTGAAAAAAAAAAATAAAAACCCTCGCTGTACATATTACTCATACTTTTCACGTGATCTTATGCAAAAAAAGAACTTAATGACTTTTAAATCTTAGTTATGATCCAACTTGATTAATACAATTTATTTGTGGACTCTGTATGCAAATCTTTTTATCATGGAACTTCCATGTATTTAATAGCAATAGATGGCAACGATATGATTTCAGATTTAATTAATCTAGCTAAAGAAATCGCAGGAATTATATAATTATTATAAATCATTCATGTTAAAAATTTGCTTGAATTTTTTTGCATTCAACTATCATATTAATATGTTGATAATGCTAACAATGATTAGAATTACTATTGTTCACTACTATTATTTTTATTATTATTGTTTATATTAATTTTATGATCTCATCCTGTTTTCTTTTAAATCATGAAAC